ATTGCTACTTATATCCACAGTTGGTGGTTTTTATCTAAATGACTGTTATAGGTTGTCTGGAAACTTACTCCATCATTCCAGAAGGGAAATCTTCCTTTTACCTCTCATACTAGAAAATCCTTTACTGGTTTTCTTTCATATATTTTAAATAGCTCCTTCCTAACTTTTTCTTCTTTTCTTGGGAATTTCATTTACTGGATATTGACAGTTACACTGTCTCTAAATTTCTTCTTATTTCCTGATTGTTTTAGCACTTCTTAATGTTTTCTACTGAGGAGTCCTTTGCAGTTTGTTGCTTCATTTGTTGGCTATGCATAAATTACATTTCCCTTTACATATCTATTACACAATTTCTGCTACTAGTAATAATATTGAAGTTTGTGCCATAGGGAAGGTGAAAGAGATGACCCCAAACTTATATAACTGGCAATGATCAAATCTTTCATATCATAGTTTTTTGAGATTAATAAGCTAAATCTCTAGCAGTTCTTCCCACTAAAAAGAATTCATAATAATGGCAAAAATTCAAATGTTGCTTTATATAATCAACATTTATTTAGATTTATCCATATTTCTATCAGTTCCTCTGCTCACCAGTCATTTGCTTTTTAAACCTTTTCTTTGAAATCATATTCCTTCTTGAAGTACATCATGTGCTTTTTTGAGTGCATCATGTATTCAGTTCCTTATGTTTGTGCCAAGATGTTATCTTTGCCAATTTTCTAATCTTAAAAGAAAACTGAACATTTCATTGTTTTCTTATGGTGTTTCCTATTGATTTTTGTAGATGTCCATTAATTGTGAAGACTTCTCGTTTCAAGGCAACTGTGCTAAGATTTTTTTTTTTCTAATGAATGCTTGTTGAATTGCATTGAATGTGTTGTATCCATTGATATAAAAATCAGGTATTTTAGTTATTGGATGTACTTGATTGTATTAGTCAAGTCTCTAATATTACAAGAACTTTGTCTTTCAAGGGAAAAAACAACCTGGTCATGGTACGGTGCATTTTTGATACATTGCTGGTTTGGGTATCATTAAGTGTGTTGAATTGTGTTCCTTTTTTTTCCTGTTCTCTAGAGAGTTCATGTACACTGAGAGTCCAAATTTCTTGAAAGATTGTAAAGTTTTTGGATGTATTTTTTGTGGGAAGGTTTTTAACAGTTTTAACTCTCCAATGGTTACAGAGTTGTTCAGCCTTGCTTTTTCTTCTTTAGTCCACTTTAATGTTGAATTAAAAAAAATTCTAATTTTTTTGTTTCATTTAAATTATTTTTTACTGGCATAAATTTCACATCTCTATTTACTATTTTGACTTTATCTGTAGTTACACCCTCATTTTTTAATTCCTAATATTCCTAATTATTATTGCCAACTTTTTCTTGATTGATTTGCAGTCTTATTAGTGTTTTCAGAAAGAATATTTGACTCTTTGTTGTTAAAGTTTTAAATCCCATGTCACTCCTCCTTTTAGTCTTCTATCCTTAATAATACTAGGGTGATCTGTGATAGATGTTTTTTAAAAATATTACCCCATAGTAAATTACTTTTGCAGTCATTGTTAAATATTGAAATTATACTTTTGAAGATTGTAGAAGAACGAGGAGTTACATGTTCCAGGTTTAATTATTACTTCAATATATATGCACTTAAGATGTTTTTTAACAAATAATTTAGAGAAATCTTAATGGAACTATTTGCTATAAAGAAAGATATAGTTTATCTTTGCAGTAAACTTCATGTTATTTATACGTAGAGAGTTAAGCTTCCATTTATGTTATTCCATTTAAAATAGATAGTATTTTTGTGTAAACATTTTAAATACCTACTTGAGACAAACATCAAAATTTTTATAAGCTTTTAACAGTCTTTTATTATTACAGAAGAACAAACAAGGAAAAATGCATTGTTTTTATTAGTTTGATTCAGAGTGCCAAGTTATGCATCTATACTGGATTCCTTTGTAAAGTATTTTAACTTTTAAGTTTTTTTTTTTTTTAAGATTTATTTATACAAGAACTGGGGCACAGGCCAGATGTGTGGGAGGATGAGAGGACTCACCAGAGACAGAGCGGGGAACAGAACAGGCAGACTTACTGAAATACACTGCTGAGGGGAGCAACGGGCGAGACAGGAGAGGTCTGCTGAGCCATGTGGGTATCTCCACAGCCAGCAAGGATCGAACCGGCATTGCAGAGGCTGTGGACAGCTTCACAGTGCTGTGCTCAACAGCCTGTACCACAAGGGAGGCCCTTAAATTTCTTTTCTTAACTGACATCTTAAGTATCTCAACAATTAAGCTGAAAAACGTATTTGACTCTGACTTCAGTAATATATGGAGAGTGTTTATTTCTAACAAAATACCCAACTCTGCCCCTTATTATCTTAAGAAAGGACTTGATGTCACATAGCTCTATTATCACACATCTGATACATTCCACTTTTCTAGGTAAAAAGAGTCCTTGCTGTTTCTTCAACATGTTCTTACTTTAATTTTGACAGTTTGGTTTGAAATCCTGAATCTGAGTTATTTTTAAGAATGAGACTAATTTACTTAATGTAAGATCCCTAACTAGACCTGCAGAACATAAAGAGGAAAGAGATCTTCTCTATGAGATTTATTCTACGTGACTGTGCTTATCTTGAAAAGCTGCCAAGTTTGCTTTTATGCACTCAGTGCTTCAAGTGGGAATCAATTAGAATACCTGCTGTTTTGAATAGCAGATAATGGTAAAAGGTCAGAATTTAGACCACCAACAGTGTTCAACAAGCAGCTATTATTCTTAAACTACAGTGGAGAATAATTGCTTTTTAGTTCAATATGCACTGGGTAACTGATGAACTTGACTAAAATAACACATGTTATAACACAACTTAGCTTTATTCAGTGTAAGTAAAACAAAATTCTTCTTTGGTGCCAAGTCAGCATTTGACCTCATGAGTTTGACCTCATGATAAGTATACATTCTTAACAGAAGGTCTTAGGAGGAAAAAAAAAATCCTTAGGAACAAAAATTCTTAAGTTAGACATCCACTAATTCAAATACAAATGTATCTACAAAAGCGCATGATGAACTTCTCCGCTTATTTTCAAGAGTCTAAAATATTGCAAAGAAGCATTTTGATTTGGACATTCTTTAAAATAAGTTCCTGGATGAATTTTTGGTAAATGATAGGTGAAAATAAAAGCACATAAGTTAAATTGAAAAATATCCCCTCTCTATATATATCTTAAAAGATATATTTGTGTAAAATATTTTGAAGCAGGAAAAAATGTCATCACAGCAGATAAAAGAATATACATGAAGTTTATCTTTCCATAGACTATTAAATTTTTAAGAGCTTACAAACATTCCACAGATCAGAATTTTCAAATAAAGAATAGGGAAATCTCATTTTGGAAGTTGTGACAATTTCAGTATTGGAGTTATAACAGACCTGTGTAAAATGTTTAATGTATCATTCCCAAAGTATTTAATATATTTGGGTCATGAGTTAGCTTTAACTTTGTAGTGATTTTAGTTTGTTTTGGATACCATCATCAGAGTAAACCTCCTAAAATAACAGTTTCATCAACCTGCTGGTCAACTACTAAGTGGTTTCATTTTCCCCAAATAAGCAGTTCCTAGTCCTGTCATTTAAGATCTGGTTCTTCTATCTTCAAAATCTTGTTTACTAACATTTCATTAGATACCTCCACCCATTACACTGGTCTTCTCCCTCTTTCATGACTGTTGTCCATATCGCCACATGTTCTGTCTCTGCGACCTATTCTCTTCCACTCTCTTGTCCTATTATCTATATCAGTAATAGGACAATCATTTTCAGTGTAGATTATTGTAACCACCTTTTTTTAAAAGATTTATTTATTTGTTTGTTTGTTTATTTATTTATTTATTTATTTATACAAGCACTGAGTACAGTCAGAAGCGCAGGAGGGTGAGAGGATTCACCAGAGCCAGAGTGGGGAGCAGAGCAGGCAGACCGACAAAGTACACTGCTGAGGGGAGCAGCGGGCGGTAGGAGAGGTCTGCGTGCCATGTGGGACCCTCGCCTGGCGGCCGGGGATCAAACTGGCACTGCAGAGGCTGTGGGCAGCTTTGCAGCCCAGCCCTCAACTGCTGTGCCACCGGGGAGGCCCTCCTACTGTAACCACTTTTAAATGTCCCTCATGGATTTCATGTTTCCATTCTATTTGTTAATAACTTATTATATCTAAAATGCTTCAGTTATCTTAGAGAAATCGGAAATCCTTGAGAATCTGCCAGTTGTCAACAGAATTACGGTTACCAGAGGAGTAGCTGAGGGAAAGTATAGACTGGTGAATGGTGACTGGATATTTGGTGGTGGGCATGATGTGATGTATGCAGTTGCCGGGGTGAGAAAATGTACAACTGAAACATGTAAGAGTTTTAAGCTAAGGTAACCTCAACAACAACCAAAAAAATCTGACAGATGTCTCTTTATCTCTGTGTCACCAAGTTAGCTACAATATAGCTGTGGGTTAGGTTTCTAACATTTTCACTTCTTGCTCTGTGCAGAGTTATATTGTTGATATGTCTCTGCTACTTAATCCTAGTATTTTTTTCATTTCCTTCAACTTTTCCCTCAAAGAAAAGCTCATTGTATTCTGGAGTTTTAAAACCCATACCATAAATACATTTACTTAATTGTTCTAGCTTGGTTCCTGCAATGGTATAAATAATAATTTTTTAGCTCAAATTTTTCTCTTGTAGTTAACCTTGCATAATCATATATGTTTCATTTAAGGAATTTCTTAAAGGTTCAGTTTTATATTAAGCAAATTTTCTATTATGTGTATCAATCTTCAGCCACTGTAAATTATCCATGTACTATTTCAATTATAAGTTTAATATTAAAATCTCCCAACACATATTTTTATTCAAATCATTTCGTTTCTATTAAAATAATTCTTCAAAAACTACTTACTTTAAAAATGTGATACTTCCTCTTACTGGTTATTGTGCCCTTGATTTCAGCATGTTATTTGCACTGGATTGTGGTGTAAGGTAGAAGGTGAGAAAGAATGCAGAACCAAACTAGATCCACCAATGGATGGAACAGATTGTGACTCTGGTAAGGTAAGTCATTTGCGTTGCCTAAAGTCAATGAGAGTATTAAATGAAACATAAGAAACTTGCATTTTCTTCTGTCAGTGTAACTCACAGGATATTTTCTTCTGCTGGTAATATGTGTACTTAATTATGGAATACTTTCAGTGTATATAAAATTTTCAACATTTCCTCTATTTTTAATTTTAGCTGTTACATTTTTAAAATCCATGCTTATTTTGTTCATCTCAGTGGTTGTTTTTATTGTTTTATCAAGATAATTCTAAGATGCAGATTTATGTATTATTTGAACAAAAAAAGATTTTTTTGCAATGAAATTAAACAGGTAAAATAAGCACAAATAAGAATGTGAATAGTAGAACTCAGAGTTAATGAATTCATGCTAGTGCTTCAGGAGAGCAACTGAGTATATTTAATTTCCCTTCTAATTTAAAAAATTATAAAAGATTCCATTTGGCATTTTGGAGATTCGTAAATATCCGGCCATCTAAGTTGTAAATATCCGACCATTCTAAGTGTTTCATTTACTTAATTCATGTACATTATTTATGTACATAATCAGATAACAATAATTGTTATTGAAAATTAATTTTTGAAGAATATCAAATAGATGCATCTCAAATAGAAATAATTATGGTTAATTTAGTTGAAAGATAACAGTTAAGTAGTTTACAAAATTTTCTAATTTTTATTATGTGGAAGAAAAGTAGAAACTATCAATTCAGTCATCATATGCAAGATTAGAAATCTTGTCTCTGAACATTAATTTTTATTACATTTGAAAAGAAACACCAACATGCAGACTCTAAGCATTAGTTTAGGTGAGTTACTTAGTGGGAAAAAGTTAAGTTACAGGGCCACCCCAGTGGCGCAGTGGTTGAGCACTGGGTTACGAAGCTGCGCGCAGCCTCTGCAGCGCCAGTTCGATCCCCTGCTGCTCCTCGGTTACCTAATGAGGGTCCCGCATGGCGCACATACCTCTTCTGCAGTCCACTGCTCCCCTCAGCAGTGTGCTTCAGTCCTTCTGCCTGCTTCGCTCCCCGCTCTGGCTCTGGTGAATTCTCTCACCCTCCCGTGCTTCTGACTGTACCCAGTGCTTGTATAAATAAATAAATAAATCTTAAAAAAAAAAAAAAAAAAGTTACATAGAGTGCTATTTCAAAAACACATCAATTGAAAAAATAGAGATAAAAATAGAAATTTAGGGTTTCCTTCATGGCACAGGGGTTAAAGACAGCACTATCAAGCTACTGCCACCCACTGCAACATGAGTTGGATTCCCGGCCAACCAGGGAGCTGACCCACATGGCACAGCATACCTCAGCCATGTATTTCAGTAGATCTGCCTGTTTTGCTCCCCACTCTCTCTGATGAATTCTCTCCCCCCCATACCTCTGGCTTACACCCCAGTTCTTGTATGCATAAATAAATAAATCTTTAAAAAAATAGAAAGTCAGTCATTCCACTTGGAGAATATTCTCCAAGTGGAAGTATACATGTGCACAAGGATGTATGTGTGGGCGTCTGTGTTCATGGGCAACATTCGCACATGTACATACAACCATGCATGCACAAATGCTTATGTTAGGAAGCACTATACAGTGGTGAGAAATGGGAAATAAAAATATTCATCAGAATCATTATAGTGTAGCTGTTGCCACAATGAAATAGATCTATTTGTAGTAACGACACATGATGGTTAGTCATAGGTACATGGATACTTTATGCCACCAGTTGAGATTTAAGAAAAACAGCTTATAGACAGAGGTGATTACATTCATTTACACATCTCATGTTTAAAAACCCATTTTCCATGGGTTTAAAAATATAAACTTCAAACTTTAATTAGTAGTTAACTCTTAGGAGGGAAGTGTGATTGATGGGAATAAGGGCACGCAAGGTGAGGATGAATGTAAATTTTCTGGATATTTCTGGACTTTTTGACATAAACATATAGTCATTTATTGCTTTATGATTTCTTTAAAAAAGAAAAAGTGTACAGTTATTAAATCCAAAATATTTTTTCAAGACTAGAAATTTCTTATCACTAGATAAAAATCAATGAGAAAAAGTTTCTTGAAGGGGAACGTCTGTGAAATAACATCTGTTATTACAGACTTTGCCAAATAGTTTTCCATGTGCTATATGGAGAGTCAAAATTTGGGTCTTTTTTTTTTTTTTATTTTCAGTAATACACAAAAGTGCAACATGTGTATATTGGACAAGCCTCATAGTATTATTCTGAGTAATTTATTGTTTGAATCATAAAGTTCTGCACTAGTAATATTTTCATCATCCCTGAAACATGAAAACAGCAATAAAAGATAACCAAATATTCAATCATACTTCTTCAAATATCAACAACCCATTCATCTTATGTAGTTTTTAAACAATATAAACATCTCTTCATTCTTATAAACTTATGTCCTCAATTTGTTCTATTATTATTTTTTCTCATATTTATGGAGCGATTTGCATTGTTGAGGTCTCTAAAATAAATTTATTCTTTCAGCAACCCAAATTGTAATTACTCATCAAAAGTAAAATGTTTCATTTCCCTACAATTGTGCTAATGATATTCTTTAGTGGTTCTGTAATGCTTTCTGTATTGAAATAACTAATGAACTTCTCAGTTCCACAGGCCATGTGGGCTTCTTCAGATATCCATCTGTTCCAGCTGTTGTAGCAGCCAAGTGCTGCAGTGCTAAAATATTTGAACACATGCAACCTTGCTTTAAGCACCTCTAGCTCAATACATTGCAAACCAAAAAACAAAACTGGAAATTTTGCAGTTCTTTCATTCTAGTGATATCAGTCTGGCTGCTTAACTAGCCCATCTAGGAATATATAATCAAGTCTGAGAAGGTGTCTATAGAATTTTATAATTCAAAATGATTGTGAAGGTTGTATTTACTATTTATAGACAAAATTCTTCAAAGTAAAAGTAGTCTGCTTTCTTCTTTTCTCCTTTTCTCCTTCTATCTATGTTTACATTTACATTTATTTATTTTTTAAAAAAGATTATTTATACAGAGATTTATTTATTTATTCTGACTGGGTACAGTCAGAAGCGCGGGAGGGTGAGAGAATCCACCAGAGCCAGAGCGGGTAACAGAACAGGCAGACTGGCCAAATACACTGCTGAGGGAGCAGCGGGCATGGCAGGAGAGGTCAGCAAGCCATGTATACACCCTTGCAGGTGGCCGTGGATCGAACTGGTGCTGCAGAGGCTGCGGGCCTCTTCGTAGCCCAGTGCTCAACCGCTGCACCACCAGGGGAGGTCCTACATTTACATTTAACACAGGTTTAAGAGTTGATAAATGATTTGGTAAAAACCAAGAAATGCCCTTTTTTATTTAAAATACTTGCTAGGTATTAGGGACTAGGAAAGGGAAGTTCAATACCAATGTCTAGAGTTTAGACTGTTTTTCAAGAATTCTATATATGTTAATTATTTTTCTAAATCTAGATTATTGATGTTGCCATCATGATTCTTTATTATAAAAAATGAACTCTGATAGCTGTAAAATAAAAAATTTGCATACATACAAAGTTTATTGCTTTCTTTATGTCACTTCTCTCATCCAATATTGTATATACAGGGCTTGATTAGAAAATGATCATTTTTCTTCAACTTCTTCATGGACCTCTTGTGATTTGGGCACTTTCATGAACTTCTAGACATATCCTCATGGAAATTTGAGAGAATAAAAAACAGGATACTTTTTAGGTCATGTTTTGTCTCAGAAATAATCTATATTCTATATTCCCTTAGCATTTTCATAAATCAGACTGTACTCAGATAATGACAAATTCCAAGTTTTTAAATCATATATAATTGACTAAAAATATAAAAGAAACAAAACACTGTTAGAAAGTTTATGAAAAGCATCATTAGGATCATTTTATATACAAACCCAATAGAATCCACTGTATAATCAAGCAAAGCATCATTTGACATTTTCCTCAATGTTGAAGCACAGTAGTGCATACAAGGAACAAAAGCAGGTTCTCCATAGCTTCACCCAGAGATCTGGTTTATCTGCAAGGCGATTGACCTTAAATATTACACTATAATTTCTTTAAATTTCACTGATATGTGTGGGCAAATTGGCTTACAAGACTGTTTCCATTTCTCTTCTTCCGCCAGATATGGTCTGGTTTAAATGATGTGCAGGTTTAGATCCCAGTGTTTCCCAGAGTATTTTTAGTTTGCTATGAACTCTAGCCCAACCTTTCAATGCCAGCTTGCTGCTAAATGGAACTATGATATGCACTCTGGGGAAAATAAACACCATTCAAGGAGGCCAAAACAATTTGACCAGTTGAAATTTGTCAGCTTTCACTTTGGATTTTTTTTTCGCCCATGAATGGCATGACATTGTTAAATTCTTAAAGCCAGTGAGTTGTTTAAAACTTTTACAGGGTCTGTTTTTTTCATGTTTTTGCAATTTGAAGGCTGAATCTTCTTAAAAAATTCTAATTTATTTAACAGCAATCAGTATATCCATATATTCTAGATTGTAGAAATTCATTGTTTTTATGACTAGATTTAAAATTTCTTGAGTCAGAAAAGGTTGAATTTATAATTTGATATTATTAGAGAAAATGTTTTATTGCCAGGTAGACACATATTTTAGCTCAAATAAAGCTATGTAGCATAGTTTTCTACTACTGTTGTTATTGTTAGAATTAACTTTTATTAAAATCATTAGTACGGGCTATGAATTGTGTTTATTGCTTTATTCATCCCTTGCAAAGTGTCTGTTAAGTCAATATGATTATCATTCACATTTTGAAAAGGGAAAACTGAGAATGTCCCTGCAATTTCCTCAAGATTCCTTAAATATCATGTTGCCATTAAGGACAGAAAATTAATTAGGGCTGCACGAATCAGCTTTTTCAACTTCTGTCATTATGCAGACATTAATATAAATTTTTCTGATCTTATTCTCGGTATCATTTTCTTCAGTACTTTTTTTTTTTTAAGATTTATTTATTTATACAAGAACCAGGGTAACGGTCAGATGTGCGGGAGGGTGAGAGTATTTACCAGAGACAGAGTGGGGTACAGAACAAGCAGATGGACTGAAATATACTGCTGAAGGGAGCAGTGGGGGAGACAGGAGAGGTTTGTCCCACCATGTGGATTGCTCCACGGCTGGAGGGGATCGAACTGTCACTGCAGAGGCTGCCGACAGCTTCACAGTGCTGCGCTCAACTTGCGCCACCAGGGAGGCCCCCCCATTTTCTTCAGTACTTTTTACCTTTAACATGTTTGCTGTGAACATCATATATCTGATTTTCCAGGCAAAAGTTATTACCATAATCTATCCACCAAGACCTGGTAAACATTCCTTGGTAAAAAAAGAAGTAGCCCCTTTTGAGCTTCTGTTTACAGATAATAAGTAATATAACATCATTATATATTATGTTTATTGTTACATTTCTCTTTCTTAAATACCAAATATACTATAGAATAAATGGATTAAAATGGCAGAATTTTAAAATGTAATTGCTCAAGTCTTTCGAATAAACAGCTCTCAAAGGAAAACTTGCTATAATAATATTTGAGTATGATAGACTCTTTAAGAAAAAGAGGCATAGTCGCAGCAGACCTCTCCTGACTCATCCACTGCTCTCCTCAGCAGTATATTTCAGTCAGTCCACCTGTTCTGTACCCCACTCTGTCTCTGGTGAATCCTCTTACTCCCCACTCCTCTGGCTTGTACCCCAGTTCTTGTATGCATAAATAAATAAATCTTTTTTAAAAAAAGAAAAGAAAAAGAGGCATAAAGGAAGTATTAAAGTTAAATATGCTTTTTTAATTACCAGGAAGGAGAACAGCCTAAATCACTGAAGTTTCAGATAAACAGTGCTAAATTTGCTAAAAAGTCTGCTACCCGGTAGTGGTAAAAGAAAATTATTCCTTATTTTCATTGTTATATATGATTTTCTGCTTTTTTTGTTTGTCTCTTTTGAATTATTATGTTTCTTTGAAAGGGTTAGTTGTTCCTTTTTTTCCTGTCTATACTCTCCCTCATTTCCTCTTCACCCTAGCTTCCTCACTAAGCACTGAGTTCTCAGGGCTGCAGCACAAGTATCTGTGCATTGTCTGCATGGTCTCTGAGAACTGGGAGATCAGGACCATATTTTACTATAACAATAAGTAGGTGCCAAACTCATTTTTTTGTTTTTTAATTTCCTGTGTTTGGACTCTAGTAGATCTGATTTAAACACAATCCCAGTGATTTTTGTAGGCCAGTGAATGATTTTCCATTGTGCCCTGATTTGTTCACCTAAGACATACCTTTTGGAATAGTGGTGTAAGGCTGGAGAATGTAGCAGCAGGATGTCAGCCCCTGGACATGTGGCCGGAGAGTGGAGCATGTGGAGTCCATGTAGCCGGACCTGCAGTTCTGGGATCAGCGGTCGAGAACGCAGATGTTCTGGGTAAATGCACAGTTCCTGAGTTGGGGAGGGCACTTTTCAATTCTGATTTGCACAGGCTTTACTGACAGACCATGTTGGAAGGCAAAAGGAGCCCCTCAAATGTTACTCCATGCTCCATTTTGAAACACTAAAATTCCTTAAATCGTGTGATTAAAAAAAAAAAGCTCCCTTTTTATAAAACAGTAAGAGCAAACCTCTAGGAGTAATAATTAAGTGATATTCAGGATAGTAAATCAAATAAAATGTGTTTAAATAAACAAACATGTATTTGACAAAGCATGGTGACGTGAGACTAGTAGGAAAATGATGGCAATGCAGGACTGTAATATGAGGTTAAATTGATCAGAACTGTAAAAATATGCCCTTTTTTAAAAAAATGTGTATTTGTGGATTTCCTACTATTTCTAATAATTTAATGTACCCACATTTTCAAGAGTAGATTTAATATGAATGTTTACCCTTATGATTTGTAAAATGTTTAATGAATAGTTAATATGAAAAAACAGTGATAAAATTGATTATTTGTACTGTCTTTTCTAGGCTAAGTTCTGAAACAAGGGATTGTAATGGTCCCAGAAAACAGTACAGAATATGTGAGAATCCACCTTGTCCTGCAGGTTTGCCTGGATTCAGAGATTGGCAATGTCAGGCCTATAGTGTTAGAACTTCGTACCCAAAGCATGTACTTCAGTGGCAGGCTGTCATGGATGAAGGTATGAACAGCCAGATCTTTACCTTCTGAATTAGACTTCAAGGTTTACAAAGTTTTCCAGAAGAATAATTAATGTTATTTTACAGATTATGTTCTATGTATTTCAAAACTTTATTTTTCCACTTTTACTGATATGTAACAACCATGGGCAATCACTAAAAAAGTTGGAGAGAGCTATCACAGAGATTGGTAGCTGCCAGAGGAGAAGGGTGAGTGAAATGGGTGAGGAAAGTCAACAGTACAAACTTCTAGCTACTAAGTAAGTAAACAAACAAGTCATGGGGATGTAGTTTACAGTCTGGTGACTATAGCTAATCATACCGTGTTGTACATATCTGAGAGTCACTGAGATAGTAGATATCAAAAGTTCTCAGCACAAGAAAATTATTGTAATTATGTGTAGTTATGAATGTTAATTAAACATAGCATGATGTTCTATTCACAATATATGCATATGTCAGGTCATGTACATCTGATACTAGTAAAAGTTATATGTCGATTATATCTCAATTAAAACAACTTAAAGATACAGGTAATACTAAGCAGTTGTTATATCAACTAAAATTTAAAAAATGACAATAACGAATGCTGACAAGGATGAGGAGAAACTGGAGAGCTCATACATTCCTTATAGGAATGTAAGATTGCATGACTACTCTGAAAAAAAGCTTGGCAGTTTCTTGAACAACTAAATATGCCCTCATCATACAGTTGAGAATATGCAGTCCTGGGAATTAAAATAAAAATCCTACATTCAAGTTCCCATAGACATTTTATTATCAATAGCTAAAAACTAGGGGAAAAAAACAAAGATTCTCATAGCTGAATGAGTTAAACAAACTAAGGTAAGTCCATACCATGGAATATTATGCAGCAATAAATGGGACAAAATATTGATATATGCAATGATTTGATAGATTTCAGATTATTATACAAACTGAAAAAGAGTCAAAACGTAAAGAACTGTATGGTTTCAATTTAATGACATTCTTGAAATGATAAACCATAGAGGTGGAAAACAGACATTACTAGTTTCCAGGACTTAGGGATGGTAGTTGGGAGGATGGATAAACTTCATGCTTATGGAATAGTTCTATATCTTGACTGTGATGGATGGTTATAAAATCCACATGTGCTAAAATTGTGTAAAATTATGTACACAGAATATGTATTATAATTCCACGAGTTTTGCTATTACCTAATAGTTACCATTGGGGAAAACTGGATGGAAAGTACATGTCACCTCTCTCTATTATTTTGCAGTTTTCTCTAAATCTTAACTATTTCAGAATTAGAATCTTAAGGAAATTACTTCTTATCACTTAAGAAGCCTGTAGTCAGTGGGTTGTGGGCGAAAGTTTGCAGTTGACAAAATGGACTTAATTTTATCACCCCTGTCTTCTTTGTTTCTTTTCTTAGTCAATTTGGAATTTCCTTTCCATCATTGCAATAACACTGCTGGTCATAGCTTAAATTCTACTACTTCTCAATTTTAGTGTAGACATCAGACAAAACTCTTCCCTCACTGAAAGCATCTGAGTACACAGCACTAATGGAAGGCATTAAACAATAGGGCATGGTGTTCTGCTATGTAATTTGGAGAGGGTTATGTTCTCATTTTCTTGCTATAAAACAGAAAAGTATAGTTATCTCTATAGATGGTCCATCTTCTTTCTGCAACATAGCAGAGTTTTAAGTTCTCCTCTTCAAAGCCAGATCTTTCATCTCTGCCCTGGGTGCTGCTAGCCCTGTCTTCCCTTCTCAGCTATCTTATTGATTACTGCTACTTTCTTTTATATATTTAATCCCTTTTTCCAATAGATCATTCACTTTCAATATTCAACATTTTTTGACTCTCCCTAAAAAATATAAACCTTTTTCAGATTATGGCCTCTTCCAGCTGATGCACTTAGACTTAGTCCTTCATAGACATCCTTCTCAAAAGAATTATTTAAATTCCAACCTTCTGTTTCCTTCCTTTCCATCTGAATTTCACCAACAGAAATCTCACTAATGTTATCAAGGACTTCTATGGAAATTAAACCTAGTCACTTCTCTTCAGTCCTCTTTTTACTTGACACTGCAAATACATTCAAATAATTGATGACTGCTTGTTTCTTAAAACACTCAGGTACCCTTATTTCCATGGCAAAACACCATTTTAGTCTTGCCGCTATCTCTGATGTAGTCCACTGTGTATTCCAGATGTTAATAACTTTTACTCTTCATTTTCTTTCTTAGGCAATCTCATCTATTTCCATGTCTTCAAATTTGAAAATTACTCATGAATATTTATCTGCAGCCAGATATTTCTTTTGAGCTCCAAACTTGTATATATAACTTCTACCTGTTATTTCTATATGATATCTACAAGTTAAAGAGTCAATGCATGATCTTAACCCTTCTAACCCATGCCCATTTTGATCTTCTTTAGTGTTTCCTATTTCAGCTAGGGTTATTTATTGTCTTTTCAGCTGCACAGCCCAGAGACGCATGTGTGTCATTCTTAACATTTCCTTCTTCCTTTCCCACCTGTCCTGTACATCACTATGTCTTACTTGTTTTACTTCCTGATAACTCTCCACTGCAACTCCAATTACCAAACTAAGCCATAAATCTTCATCCTCAATTTCCGCCCTCTTTAATCAATCAACAAACTCCTCCAAACCTTTTGATTACTACTACCAGTTTATGTTCTTGACTGCACCATTTCCAACCTGGATTTCTCAAACAGCTTCCTTGCCATCTCCCTTGTTACAGTTGCCACTCCTTCAGGCCCCGCTCCTCATTTCAGTCAGGTGCTATTTTATGAGGCCGTTCTCTCAGTCACTGCACCCTTTCCCTTCCATGAGTCCCGTTGCTCTCAGGACCCACCGCAAACTTCATGACCTGGTTTATTAGGTCTTCTCCTGCCTCACATCCATCTTTCCTTTTGTAGTCTCTTGCACAACCAAGCTGAATTTCACTCTACCTGCCACGTACTCCTGTTTCTGGACCCATAAGACATACTAGAGGTGTTTTGGTTTTTTTTTTATTGTCATAATACTTTTTCTTTCTCAAACTTTGATCTCTATTTCACCATCATTTATTTACCTTTAAGACTTCTACTGATTTTTGAACTCAGTTTATGTCATTTCCTCAAGGGAAAAAGAAACCCTTTGATTCTTCAAATTGGATAGATGCCCCTTTCACCTACCCCACCAGCACCCTGTTATAGCACGTTTGAGTGTGTCTGCATTCACTGTATCATCTGTTCCTAGTGTATGACCTGGTGATTATGAAGTTTCCAGTAAATATCTGTTGCATGAATCTGAACACATAAATAATGTCTCTATGGTAAATTATAAGCAATATTATTCCAATCACAAGAATCATCACCTAGTCACTTGAAGGTTAATTCTATCTTTGCTTCTCACTGGCTGTGATGTTTGATTCGGTTAAAATTATTTGAAGCCTCTTCAGTTATATGTGAAATAAGAGGAAATTGTTCAACACCAGATTGAAAGAGAAAAAAAAAAAAAACACCTCAGATCTGGATAGAGGTCAATTTAAAATAAAGAAACTCCTAACTCTTACAAGATGATGTCTGTCATCAGTATTATCCATAATAGATAGTTATATAATTAACAGGTCAGTATTTTTTATTTTTTGTAGCACCTAGCAATTAAATAAATCTATAATTCTTTAAAAAAATCGTAAGTCTTAATAACAGGTCACAATTTAAAATGCAGAAGACTACTTCTGTTCTTCCTACATAATTCATGAATTTTGGTAGAAGGAATTAAATACAGGAGGATATCAGTATAGTTGTAAGCATTCATTTTTAGGGGGAAAAAGATGTATGACTTTAACATTCAGGTGTTTTGCATACTATGTGGTGAAATTTGGCTTAAGTCCATGTTTAATGCATATCTTGGAAAGGGTTGGTCTCCTAAATCAAGACAGAGGCTGTCTGCCAAGTACTGGCATGTTACCTGGATCGCTATGTCATAGTCTCAAGAGTACTCCAGAAAGGAAGATTGTTATCAAATGTATTTATGTCATCTGTGAAGATAAAGTAAGCACAGTGAATTGACAATATATTGTAAAATGAGACAAAGAGTTTTATGTGAATACTTGCTTGGAATGTGAATGGAATTTTCTAGACTAGCTCTTTTCAGTGTTATTCATATATCTGATTTGCTCCTTTCTTCAATGAAACCCCAGAAAGAGAATTATATACACGCTACTTTTAAAGTATCGCAATTATAGCAGCTGTCTTTAAATCCAAAGATATGACGTAGTGACCAATCACTAAATAAACATAACCTACTTTGAGGTGTGAGCGCACACTGAAATGCTTTATTATGGCTTATAATGGCATCTTAGAGGAAAATTTTAAAAGCATGCACATTAAAGGCCATGTTCCAACTCTCCAAAATTTTTCAGAAGGAATAGTCAGAAGCCACATGTGAAAACTGTTTGAAATGTTCAATTCTGAAGGCTCATTTAAATGCTTCTTTTCTCTTTGCAAAGTGATACCCTGTTCCATGCCTCTGGCTGTTATTTGGTATTTATAGAATCCCATCAACATACATGGAACTTGACAGAAGACATAACTGAAGCTCAGTGTCAGAGATTGTCAACTATTTTCCATTCTGTTTATATGAACTTAATAAACAGTAAAGAACCTGACTGGTGTGAAGCCAGTAGAGTAGTAACATAGCATGGAAATTGTTCTGAAGTTTCAGATTTGGATAATTCTACTACTGGTGTTACCAAATATGACAGCTCCTCTGGTGGATGCTTAGAAATAGAAACACTTTAAAAATATTGTGCTACCTTTTGAGCCTAATAGGCAAATGTTTTAAACTCCAGCTATCCTACATTATTGCTTAAGGAAGCACAGGAGAAGAGTGCCAGCCATTCAAGAATTCTTCACGTGTGCTGTGGTTCTCAGCCTAGAACTGCTGTATCCTCACTTGCTTTCTAGTAAGCAGAAAAGGTGGTTGAGTCATAGCTAGCCCTTCAGCAATTGTGCATGTTAATAGAGGTTCCCATGAGGTTACATTGCATTTCTAAATATCCTCATAATGGAAAATCTTGTGAGAATTGTTTATCTTATAAGTTCTTTCCTTTGAACTTTAAGACCCATTAGTGATCATCAGAAGGGGATTAGATAAGTCAAGACAAAGGGGACAATGTCAGGCTGAAGGACAGAGGTGGACATTTGGCAGTAAAATCAATGTAGATTCTCAGTGATGCACACCTGAAACATATATAATATTGTAATGTTACTTCAATTAAAAAATTAGTAATTTTTAGTAATTTTATTAATTTTTCCATTAGAAAATGCCACATGCACAGGACTGAAATCAGTGCACTGATATTTAGAAATGAACCTCAAGAAGGATTTCATGAGTAAGGTAGAATTCTTATATAACTTAGCATAAAGGGGAAATCATTCCAAAAAGTTAAATACCAAAAATAGGGACATGAAAAGTATTTTTCAGGAAGAAGGATTAGTTTGGGTGTGGTAGAGGTTCAGTGTCAGAAAATAGTAAAAGATATATTTAAAAATTAATTTGAAGACCTATTTCTTGAGTTTAATAATCACTGGATAACTACTCTTTTCTCTTTTTTCTTTTCTCAAGCACCAGCTCATTTACTATTCATAATAAACCTCTAATATTATCTACTCTAGTATTACTCAGTTAACATCAAATTGTATTTTTTACTCAGTGATCTAAAAAATAAGATCAAAATATTTGCAAAGTAACTTTAACTCACTTCTTTTCATCCATTCTGTATGTAGAAAAACCATGTACCTTGTTTTGCTCGCCTGTGGGGAAAGAGCAACCTATTCTCCTAGCAGAAAAAGTGATGGATGGAACTTCTTGTGGATATCAAGGATTAGATATCTGTGCAAATGGCAGGTGCCAGGTAAGACCCTCCAAAGGGAAAGTGATGATGTCCTAGGAGAATTGTGGGACTATTAAATAGCTTTAGCTTTAGATTGGGTGGAAAGCTCTTGACTAAGATTCAGGAGACGTGATTGTTCTCCTGACCTGGTGGTAAAACTGTTCATCTGTATAATGAAGGTTTCTGTAATCTCCATTACTAGTCTGACATTTTGAAACTGTAATGCATATACTCTAGCCCTGTAGTTGCAGCAAACTGGACTTTGTCAAATATTATAGAATAAAAATTTAAGCCCTCCCATTCTCTCTGTCTTGTGTTCAAGATTGAGCCATGCAGCAAAAACCTGTAAAATCTGTCCAGTTACTCACTTATTCTGAAAGTATTTTCAACACACTGGAATCATCTGATTTTTAAATGTATATTTCATTTTCATATAATTCTTTTTTTTTAAGATTTATTTATTTATATAAGAATCGGGATACAGGCCAGATGCGTGGGAGGGTGAGAGGATTCACCAGAGACAGAACAGGGAACAGAACAGGCAGACTGACAAAATACACTGCTGAGGGGAGCAGCAGGTGAGGCAGGATAGGTCTGTAGCGCCATGTGGGACCCTCACTGGCCGGCCAGGATCGAACCGGCACTGCAGAGGCTGTGGATAGCTTCATAGCGCGGCGCTCAACTGCCAGCACCACCAGGGGAGGCCCCCCACCATCAAGTTTTTAAAACAATTTACAAGCTATTGTTAGGTTACTATCTGTGATCTGGTAGAGGTCTATAGACTTCTAAGTAAAAAACAATAATCCCAACTCTAAGACTATATTTTGCCAGCAATCTATATAGCTTAAAACACATAATCATGTTATACTCTTGGCATAAGAAGCAATCTTTAGTGTGTAAAAAAAAAATCATTGCAGGAATTTATACCAGCTCATATTTTGTTATCAGAATTGTAGGTTGTGTAATTAATGCTTTTAACTTTATTTGTGCATTATATGTAAATCTATCAGATTATTGTACATCTTTAATGAATTTGTTTTTCAAAAAATTATTTTTCTAAGCGTGTATGCCAAACACAATAGCCTAAAATTGCTACGCCTTTCACTTAACAGTTAATAATAAGCCAAATCTTTTATAGAGTCCCCAGCTAGACATTAAAGTTACAGCAACAACAACAGAAATTCTGTACAAGTGCTAATGTGAATCCGATGACTTATAATTAAAGTTTTATGAAATGGTTTCGACTTCTAACAGCTTTGTAATACTTTAGGATTCTGGCTTCTTTACTAAAATGTTTCATTCAGTCTTTAAGTATAATTAAAAACATTCCTCGTTTTCCCTTTTGACAACCCTCTACATATCAGCTTTGACCAGAGTTTTTATTTCGTTTTATCACAAAACATACAGCAGTGAAGCTGAATATAGAAAATTTGGTGAATCGACTGAGGAAGGAAATTAAAAATAGACGATTTTCAGAGGCGGGGGGAATGGCTGAAATAGATGAAGGGAGTCAAAGGGTATAAACTTGAATTATAAAATAAGTCAGAGTTGTATAGTATGGAGAGTATAGTGAATAATTCTGCATTACATATTGGAAAGTTGCTAAAAGGGATTTTTTAAATTTTTTAAAAAGATTTATTTATTTATGCATACAAGAGCACAGGCCAGAAATGCAGGGAGTAAGAGGATTCACCAGAGACAGAGTGGGGAACAGAGCAGGCATACTGGCTGAAATACACTGTTGAGGGGAGCAGCGGGCGAGACAGGAGAGGTCTGCCTCACCATGTGGCCGGCCAGAGATCGAACTTGTGCTGCAGAGGCAGCAGATTGCTTCATAGTGTGGTGCTTAATCCCTTGCGCCACCAGGGAGGCCCTAATAGAGTAGATTTTTAAGCTTTTCATCATGAGAAAAAATATGTAACAATGTAAGGTGACAGGTGTTAGACTTGCACAATATACACAAATATCAAATCTTTCTGTTATATACCTAAAACTAAGTAGAATGTTACATTTCAATTATACCTTTTTTAAACAAAGAAAACTGCTTTCTCTAGCTACCAAATTTGGCTCTCTAATGTTTCCATTATGGAAAAGGACAAAGAAAGCTCGACCTCTGTAATATGTTCTCCTATCTCCTGCATGCCAGGGGAACCCCAGTGTCCTGCCACCCGTTAGTGGCATTGCCTTTTCAAAGTAGATCCACCTCAAATTTCAGATTTATGTGGTAATATTTTGGCAAGTGTGAGTATATAAGACTATAAATTACAAAATACAAAATTTTGGATTTTGAAACTACATGATTATTGACCCAGGGCATTATGTCTATCCCTAACAGTTACCAAAAATTGAAAAAAAAATTAAGAAACTACCAAATACCAATGTATTCAGCAATGCAACTACTATTTATTGTGCTCATTATTTGCCCCCAAACAAGCTGGATGCTAGAGATGGACACGCAAGGTGCTTTTATTATTTCAAAAGTAACTTCTCTAAAAAAAAAAAAAAAGTTACCTCTCTACACTAAATTTTTCATCATGTTTATTTACATGGACAGATTTTTTTTTTTCCTCACCCTAGGGCTTTTAGCTCCTTTTCATGAGTCCTGCTTGGGGAACTCTTCCAACACCTTTGTTGTATTTTCAGCATTTCCTGTGGTGGCTACCCCTTTTCATCCAGACACATTTTCTTTTTTCTCCCTGAATAAGCTTTGACTCACAGATCAGAGTTCTCCAGGAATGCATTGTTTTGTCTACTTCTTCACACCAATAGGTTTCCCCTGACAAAAGGAAAGAATGCTACATTGTGCAGACTTAATGTGATTTTTTTGCTTTCTCAGGATATTTATCCTGCAGCTGCATTTTATAATCTACTTGTTTCCCTTACACAACCCCACCCACTCCAACTACAGAAAATGACCCCGTTTTTGTTCTTTTTTGTTCAGTACTTTAAAAGTTCCTCTAAAACAATTGTAACTTGTTATGAATGAATATATCATCACTCTTGCCTGCAACTTCTTGATTAGAGGTTGTTTGTAACCCTGCCAATAATAGTATTGACCCATAAAATTCTGCCCTTTGAGTAGACACAATTTTACAAAATGTGATCATATTTTGCAGCAGTCAGTGGGAGAAAAATATTATTCACCAGATAAGTCAATTGATTTAATCTCAGATGACTCAGAGTAACAGAATTCTTGTGGGAGCATGTAAAAATCAATTCCTGCATTGTTAGTATTTTCTTAGAGTTGCCATGGGTTGTAAGTAGTTCTTACATTTATGTGCTGGATGCCAAAGAAAATTGGAATAGAAATTATTTGTGAACTGTAGTGAAAATGAAATTTTATGTTTTTTAGAAAGTTAATATTTAATATTCAACATTTGCTTTGCAGCTACTTTAGAAGTAAAGCCATTCATATAATGCACTATAACTTTTCTATGTTGAATAGAATGAATTAGATTGTGTTATATTTAATAGGTGATTTAATTTGTAATTTTTTGTAAATTGCATTAGCCTCTTACATTTTTTTCCAAATTGCTCTTATCACTATCCTATGTATTATTTTTACAGTTACATTTTGACATGAACTTGCTCAATTAATTTGCAGCAAAGTATAAGACATTTTACTAGTTTCTCATTTAGGTATGTCTGCTTTTTAGATACTAGATCGGTCCTAGATTAGTAGTCAAAACAGAAAAACTCACTTTATGATGTATTGTCATTGTCTTGTTACAGAAAGTTGGCTGTGATGGTTTATTAGGGTCTCTTGCAAGGGAAGATCACTGTGGGGTATGCAATGGCAACGGAAAATCGTGTAAAATCATTAAAGGAGATTTTAATCACACCAGAGGTGCAGGTAATTTTTTTTTAATTATTAATCCAAACTATCCTTGAGGACAGAGATTTCACTGAACATTACTTAGAAATCACTGTTCTGATTCTGTTGAGGACACTTGAAATGGGTACTGAATGATCATTCATGATGACATAGGTATGATATTAGCCAGAGGTTCTAACAAGTCTGTTTCCTAATAATGAAAATATGAAATCATCTGTTGTGCATTTAATAAGCTGGAGCAGCAAAGGAATAATCTCATTTGCATTGGCTAATGTTATCCGGTTTCTACAAACCTTATTCTCCAAAGCAAAGCATAATATTTAACAGAGAATAATGATTTGTAATAGCCTGGAGCAACTATTGAGTATTAATCTTCAGACTCTTGGGAAGAGTCTGTAGCAGTGTGGCATAGTGGAAATGGTAATTGGGGATCAGATGATGTGGGTTCATGTTCCAGTAGATTAGTAACAGGAAATCATTCTCCTTTTGTTTCTTTGTGTATAATTACTAATACTTGGGATGGGGGTGGGAGTGGGGCAGATGGTAATGAGATGACTATGAGCAATCTGTGTGGTGTGTATTTTAAAGTGATGCAGAACAAATGACAATATCCCACAAATACTCTACACATAGAAAATCCTTTATATGCCAGTCATCAAGCTAACTGGAAGAAAGCAAACAGTTCTGCGTGTGCATGGATTTCTTACCTGGACATCTATGTAAAGAACCATCTTAGTATATACGATTATATCTTCATGATCATTAGTATGTATATATTACATGTAACTTTCTCTTATTTCATTCTTCAAAATATCAGAAAAGCTGAGACTAAAATATGTGCTAATTTGCATATAAAGAATTAGTCATTTGTGTTTGAATAATGAAGAAAACTTAGTTCATTCTAGGTAAGAGAGTTCTTCAGAAAAGAAAATTAGATCCAGCTTTCTAATGATGAGTTTAACCCTTTGCTAGGCCCCAGCAGAATAAAAGATAAGTGCAGATTTTGAAGCCTAAAAATAACTAAAACCCAGGGTAAATGGTAGATCAAAATCTTAATCTCTAAAGCTGTGGAAAAAATGCTGGGTTCTACAAGTCAAAATCTGCCTGAACTCATTTAGAAAAGCCCCACTTAGCTCTAACAGGCTCCCCGACTTCCACTAAGAAGTGCAATTATAATAAGCTTTTCAGCCTGATTGTGATGGGAGATTTTATAGTGCAGAAATTCAAATAAATTCTGAGAGACTGAAAAGATTTAAAGATGCTAGAATTGCTAGAATTTTTGAAGAATACATTTGCATGATTATTTAATACACATGGAAACAGTTAACTGAAGAATACCAGTGTAGGGTGAGCACTGTACCTTCATTTAATTATAAGAACACTTCATTCTTCCACTAAGCATAGAAAACAGACATACCATATGGGGGAAAAACTAGTAATGGTTTTCATTCTGACTGGAATTATATGGCCATAGTTACCCCAGATTGCTACTTCAGACCTCCCTTGTTTTTATTGCATTTTAATTTCTACTTTTTTACATTTGTCTTTTCTTATAGGTAAGTTATATTAATGGCTTTGTTACTTGGAAAATGTTTGAAATGTCTAATAGATGAGAACTATAGACTACTAATGTCACTTCCTTGTTTGTTTCACATTGCTCAAAGGGAAGAAACTAATTCTTAATTCTTGCACATTGCTCCTGACTGTCCATCCAGCATCATTTCATACCCTTCTCTAAGCTACAGTTACCAGATTTCTTACATATGCTCAAATTGACCCTGTCCCGCGCCCTTTCTCCCTGCTCCTGTTCCCCTCCAGGACCATATTCTATCTGCCTCCTTATACCTTCACTTGTCAATTGCTAGACATCTCTTGAACTCTATTCAATAATTCATGCAGTGCTCCTTGAATACCCTCCATCTATCACTAATGGCCAGTCTAATGATGTTTGCTATATTAGCACCCAGGTGAGGCTGTTCTGTTCCCATTTGTAATTTTGTATTCATTGACTTTTCCCCCACTCAGGTTTGACTTTAATCAGGAAAAATATCTTGACTATTTTTGTTCAGCATCATATTCCCAGTGACTGGCATAGTGCATAATTGATTAATATTGTTAATTTAATTAATAATGAAACATTAGATTGCTAGGAAGTATTAAAAAAATCTATGAGTCCCTTACTACAGCATGGACTTACCTACTTGTGGCTCTAGCAATGTTGTATTCATTTCTCTTGAGTAAAACTTATGTTTATAGTTTATGGACTTCCTAGAACTTCTAGAAGGAATTTCAGTCTTACTTAGTCCAGCTGGCTGTGCATATTGTATATATTGTATGAGTAACACATGTGCAGATACATGTGGGTGTTTTCTGTCCCTGTGGTATATTTAGTTTGCTAAATCATTTTTGTTGGAGCTAGAAAAAAATAAACATATGTGGTGTTTTTTTTTTTTTCCTTAGTGCACTTATTATATCTTTCATTGCACCTTGCCTAGCCAGAATATAATTTTCTAAAGGAATTTTTAAAGGTAAATTGTATATTAGACCAGAAGAAATGAGCATGAAATGCAATATTGTTAGAATAGAAGGTGAAGATACTGATTTTATAATAGGAACACATAGCTTATACTTTCTATCTATGTTGGTCACAGCAGTGTTATGACAGATTCACAGTATCCTGGATACTATTTTACGAAATAGTAGGACTGGGCCTTAGCAGAGAGCACATGGGGGATTTACTGGCATCTGAGTTCACAGCTTGGGCAGCTAATTACTGTCAATTAATCTTGAAAAGTGTTTTTCCCTCCTCTGCTTTTCCTTTTACCCCATACATTAAATGGCAAATGTACTATCTTCCTTGCATGTTATCATTATGGTTAAATGCAAAAACTTCTGTAAAGTACTATAATAATGACTGGTACATTGCACTTGCTCAAAATGTGACATTTATCATTATTACTACCATGAAAATAATGATCACTATTGCATTTTAAGATGGCAGAGTAAAAAATGGTGTATCTGGTAAAATAGAAAATTCCTGTTGTCAAAGCGAACTGTCCAAGATGAGTGTCGAATCTATAGCATTGGTATCACAGGCTTTCTTTCAGCTTCTAATGCTAAGCAATAGCCCTTCTTAACATTCACTTCTGTAAAGGATAAACATTCTCCATTGTGCTAAATGACTTTATTACTAAAAAGAATCCAGACTCTCTCTAGTCATTGGATTTCTCTCTTCAAATGCATTTGCTTAAATATTTTCTCCCCTCTTCTTTGAATCTAACTCAACTGTCCTCCAAGTCATCCTTAATTGTAGAGAATTGCTTTCTTCATGATTGTAAACTTAGGTAAAGCTCTTACCCTAATGTACAATGTATTTCTGAATTTCCTGCTATACTCAATTAGGAATTTACTTCTTGATGGCACATTCACTTGCCTTTCAGTCATCTTTTCTTTGTCGTTTCTACAAATTTTACACAGTTCTCCAACATCTTGAGATATTCTAATCTATAGGATTCTATCACATAAAAATAGACCAGCTCTCCTCCTCGTGATTATTCCTTCTCTATATTCTTTTCTGATTTACTTTCACTCTCTCCACTAAAAATCTCAAGTTTCCAAGATGAAGTCCTTGACTACTCTCTATTTTCTCTCCTTACTCCTATTGTTCAAGTTATTGCCTCTGTCAAGATCCTCCACAGAGGTCTACCAGTAGCCTGACCTTTCTCTGGCGTTTCAAATGTTCTAGAGCTCTTACTGGATAATTTTACTAGTGTATTATACCATTTTGCTAAATATAAATTGCAAAACTGAGCTTAGCAGATGATTATCAAAACTTGACTTCCATGTCCTGTAGATGATGGCCCTGCCCCCTCTCCCATAAGTAACAGCCACACACATGTTCCCTTACCTTCTTCCCGTGAGATACCAAGTTCAGGATTGTTTTTTTCTTCATAAATTTTCTACCTTAATCTCTTCCACTCCTGGATCTATGCAGTGGCTTCCTGACTCTGTTACCCACAGCCGTATTTACTGACCACTTTTACATATTGCTGTTAGATCAAACCTCTCCAGACCCGTATCTCATGAACAAGTTCATTGCTATAGAATATTCAAGCACTTCAGTTTGATCAATTCAGTGTCCTAGCATTCATTTAAACTCTTTAATAGAGACATCTTGTATCTTCTCATTGTTAGAATTATTTTATTTGTGTGTTACGAAAATATTGCTTATACCCTTACTTTACTTAAGTGAACACATCCATAGATCTGCACACATGTGCATGTGTTATGTATCTGTATTTATATATATGTGTATATGTACATGCATAGAACTACCCATTCTTCAAAGAGATTTCATCTCATTATTTATATGAAAATTTTCCGCATCATATGCAATGTTCTCTTTTCTGAATCAGTGCTTCTAGTTGAGCCCAGTGTTTTTCAAGTGTAATGTATATGACAATGTAAAAGGAAAAAAAAATTCCTACTTTGTGGGTGAAGATAGCTGTGAAACTTTTGAGTTGTGATGTCACCAGTAAAGGAGGGCAGTTTAAAGATCACAGGTTGATATTCTTCCGTAGGGAATTAACCATACCATGTTACATATGACCTCTCAAATGTAATTTTTGACGTTTTATTTAGCTCATTTATGTAAGGTTTTTATACTTTGTCTCCGTGCAGACAACCATAGTACCTTACTTCTAGGTACAAACAACCACTAAGCATTTGCTTCTATTTTCATCATTGCTTGTTTTTTCCATGTAACAGAATGATAGTGCTTTTTTTCTTTAGTATTACTGAAAATGATTACACTGACTGAGGGGTGTTCTTGAATGAAAATTATGATTCTAAAAACATATGCTTCTAATTTTAGCCACTGCCACAAGATGAGTTTACACTACCTTTTTGATATATACCCAATAATTGTAAACAGCTTTAGGAATTAAATTAACAAATAGGAGATAACTCTGGATCCACTCTTCTAGCTTGGAAATAAAAGACTATTATCAGATATATGGAGCATCATCGAAATGCTAAGAATATTAAATATTATTTTAATATAACTAAAGCATAGGTATTCAGCCAGAAGTAGATGTCTACTCACTATTCTGCTCTCAATAAAGTCTTGGTTTTGACTATTTTTGGACACTTACCCACATTATCTTATTTTTTTCAAGCATTGCATTCCTAACTTCTGCTAAAAATCCCTTATCTGAAAAACACCTAATGGTGTCTTCTGACTAGCTGTCTGGCTAAAACTGACACCTTCCAGAGTGACACAAGATTGTTAGGTGTGGCCTTACACTTTCTTGTCTCGAGCTCCAGTTTCAAGTCTTATTTTTCTCTCACTTTAAACTGATAGGATGTTATATGTCAATTAAATCTCAATAAAACTGGAAAAAAAACTAAAAACCACATAAAAAAATCAAATCTGTTGTCAGTCTCCTCTGGGGAGTTTAGTCTGTTTTCCTAGACTTAACTTCTCCAGGGGCCCGATCCCTGTCCTAGTCTCTCCAACTGCCATCTGTCTTCCCCACACTTCCTAACTTACTGGATTTCCCCACAGCACAATCTGAGGTTACTTGGGTCTGTTCCAGATTCATTTTCTTTCTAACCAGGCTGTCACATTGTGCTTTATCTCTGCTCACAATTCATAAGCTATCAGCAAGCTATTTAAATAAAATACTGTTGCCTGTGTGTCCTTAATAGCACCTATAGATTCAACATCTTTCGAGGAAACGTCACCACTTAAAATTACAACTTTTATACACTTTCTTTTTTACATAGGTACTGAAATATCATAGCAAAAAATAAAAGAGAAAAGGGCCAATTAAGAAAAGAGATATTATGAAAACCCACTATTTATTTCATGTTCTGTTGACTCTAATAGGGTATGTAGAAGTGCTGGTGATACCTGCTGGAGCAAGAAGAATCAAAGTTGTGGAGGAAAAGCCGGCACATAGCTATTTGGGTAAGCCACATCACAAACACAGCCCAGCTTCCTGCCCTGAGCAGTCTCTGATAAGGAGGATGTCAGTCAGTTTCTAGTTACCTGTTTGAATTTCCTGGGAAGCACCTCTTGTCATAGCATGTGGGAAGTCCTTTCCTTTCTCCTAGAGCCATGCTAACAGTCAAAGCAATCTGGTTGTCTGTATGTTTTGGGGGGCTATAAATTGCCTCCATATGTTAGTTCATATTTTAAAAAGCACTCACTGGAGGGTTTTGTTGTCTATTACTTTATATATATGCATATGTAAATATATTTTGTAAACATATTTCATAGTATGCACGGATGTACACATATTAATAAAATCACATTCAAATATATGTGTATATGCATATATATGTACATATAATAGTGTGTCTATAGTATGTCTACATATACATATAGCTGTGTGTGTATTTTATATATAATGATTACTTTGTAATTAGGATATTTTGTGAAACTCTATACTTGATCTTTAAATGGGAGCCTCATATCAGATGCACTCATTTATAGTGCTTTACTTGTACATTTTTAAGGATGGATTATGGAAAGAACTGATAAGTTATTTTAATTAGACTGTTCATAATTTTTAAATACACACAAGAAAATACTAAGTTGACAATACATATTGCTTATATATTAAGATTTTAAGCTAACTAGGTCATGTGAAATACCTCTTATAGTCACAAATCCACACATAGAAGGTTCTCGTGTAATTAGGTCAGGCAAAAGGCGAAATATTTGCCAGGAATTTAGATGTACTTTCATCTCTTTTTAACGACAGAATAATGTCCCAATAGGAAACAGTTTGTTCATGAAAATAACCCATATAACATGATTGTTTCTATGCTACAATATTGAAAATAGTTTAGATTGGTATTGAGTTATTTTTCTTATTCCGTGCTGCTTTCTAGGAATACAAATGTTTGAGGAAAGGGGACAATAGTAGAAATCATTTGCCATGTGACACACACACATCAATTTGTTATTGCTAATATGTGTTTTATCTTTTTCTACCTGTAGTTTTTTAAATGCGTTTTAAGTACAAGTAAATCATTCCAATATCCAAACTCAGATTAAAGCTGTAACATCTAGTTTTTTGAAATTCTGTAAAATCTTCCCAATTTCCACTCTACTTAAGGAACTCTTCTTATCTTTAGTTTTTCCCCTCTACAAATCATTCACTGTAGTAACAATCACTGCTGTGACAATCACCACAAACTTGGTGGGTGGCTTAAAAAAACCAGAAATGTATTCTATCACTTTCTGGAGGCCATAATGGTTTCACTACACCAAAAATCAAGGTGTCTATTAAATGTTGCTTTTTCTCTCTGGAATTCTAGGGGCACACCCATTCTTTTGTCTCTTCCAGCTTCTGGTAGCATTCTTTGCCTTGTGACCACGTAACTTTGATGCCTGCCTCTGTGGTCTCAAAACCTTCTCCTGTCTTTCTGTGTTCAAATCTCCCACTTCTTATAAGAGCCATGTGATTGCATTTTAGATCTACTTGGATCATCCAGGACAGTATCACATTCTCAAGATCCTTAACTTAATCAAAGCTGCAAAAGTGTTTGTTTCTCTCTATATAAGGCAGGAATCATGGGTTCCAGGGATTTGGATATGGTTCTCTTTTTTCCTTTAATGACAATTTTAAGGTAACATTGCATTATAGCATTGTACACATTTCAAGTGTGCATCATTGAAAACTGACATTTATAAACGGCATTAAGTTTACCACTGAAAGTCCAGTGCTACCCTTCACCATACAATTGTGCCTTTTTACTTGATTTATTCACCCCTCTTCCCTTCTGGTAATCTTGGTCTTAAAGTCTGCAAGTTTATTTTTGTTTTAGTTCATTCTTTTATTTATTTTCTCTATATAGCACATATGAATGAAATCAATATGGTATTTGTCTTTTTCCTCCAGGTTTATTTCACTGAAGGTATTTTTTACTGTGGTAAGAATTCTTTTCACTATGGCAAAATATACATAACATGAAATTTGCTATCTTAACTGTGCTAAATACATAATTCAGTGGCACTGTGTGGATAACATTGTTGTGCAGTCACCACCACCATCTGTCTCCAGAACTTGTTTCGTCTCGCAAAACTGAAACTCTATACCATTAAACAAGCATTCCAGTTTCTTTACATCCTCACTGAGGCCTGTTTCTCTTTGTTTGATTTTAACCATCCTCATGAGGTGATAGTCTCCTGGTGAGGTGAGGTTTTCAGTTGCATTTCCTTAGAGATTACTGATGTTGAGCAGCTTTCTCCTGTGTGTGTGTGTGTGTGTGTGTGTGTCTGTGTGTATGTTGGTCATTTGTAATCTTTGGAGAAATGTCTGTTCAAGTCCTTTGCCCATTTTTCAATTAGGTTGTTTGCTCTATTGCTTATTTTGTTGATGAGTTTTAAGAATTCTGTGTACACTCTGGATATTAATCTCTTACTAGATATTTTTTCCCATTTTGTCAGTTTTTACTCTGGTAATTCTTTTGATGCACAAAAGCTTGTAATTTTCATGAAATTCGTCTATTTTTTCTTTTATTCTTGGTGACTTTTGTGTCATTTCCAGGAAAATATTGCTAGATCCAATGTCATGAAGTTTTTTCTCTCATGTTTCCTTCTGAGAACTTTATAGTTTTAGCATTTGCATTGATAAGTTTTAAGTTTATTTATGTGATGTTAGGTATGGATCTAACTTTGTTTTTTTTTTTTTTTTTTTTTGGTATGTGGAAACTCTGTTTTCTCAGCCCCATTGTTTGAAAGATTATGCTTTCTCTATTGAATGAGCTTGGTACCCTTATCAAAAACCATTTGATCATACATGTGAATTTTCATTCTGGAATTTTTATTCTGTTCCGATGGCACATATGTTTGCTTTTTATGCCTTATTTTTGATTAATGAAGTTTTTAGTGAGGCTTGAAATCAAGAGTCAGCATTTTTCATTTTTCAAGATTTTATTGGCTTTTCAGGATAATAACGAGATTCCATATGAATTTTAGTGTTGGGTTTGTTTGTTTTTTAGCAGAAAGGGTCATTGGGATTTTGATCGATTGCAGTGAATTTGTGTGTCACTTTTGATAATAATGATATCATTTTTTAAGATTTATTTATGCATATAAGAACTGGAGCACAAGCCAGAGGTGTGGGAATAAGAGGTTTCACCAGAGACAGAATGGGGAGCAGAACAGGCAGACTGACTGAAATATACTGCTGAGGGGAGCAGCATGGGAGGCAGGAGAGGTCTGCTGCACCATGTGCTTTGTTCCCTGGCCTGCCAGGGATTGAACTTATGCTGCAGAGGCTGCCAATAGCTTCATAGTGCTGTGCTTAACTCCTTGTGCCACCAGGGAGGCCCAATAATGATATCATCACAACTTTTAAGTCTTCCAATCCATGAACTTGCAGTTTGTTTCTATTTATTTATGTCTTGATTTCTGTCAGCAAAGTTTTGTGGTTTTCATTTTAAAAGTCTTTTACCCCTGTATTAATTTCCAAATATTTTATTCTTTTTGATAGTATTACATGTAGAATTGTTTTCTTAAATTCCATTTCAGAGTGTTCATTGTTAATGTATAGAAATAATTGATTATTGTGTGTTCATTTTGAATCCTACACTTTGCTATAACAGTTTCTTTTTAAGAATATTTGTAGATCATCTACATAAAGAGATCATTTTATTTCTTCCTTTCTGATCTGGATGCCTTTTATATCTCTTTTTTTTAAAGATTTATTAATTTATTTATTTTTAAAAGATTTATTTACACATACAAGAACTAGGTACAGGCCAGAGGTGTGGCGGGGTGAGAGGATTCACCAGAGAGACTGGGGAACAGAACAGGCAAACTGACTGAAATACACTGCTGAGGGGAGCAGTGGGTGAGACAGGAAAGGTCTGCTGCACCATGTGGGATGCTCCCTGGCCAGCCGGGATGGAACTCACACTGCAGTGGCTGCGGATAGCTTAGTAGGTTGCATCTGAACCCCTTGCACCACCAGGGAGGCCCAAGATTTATTTATTTTTATACAAGAACTGGGGTACAGGCCAGATGTGCGGGACAGTGAGAGGATTCACCTGAGACAGAGCGGGGAACAGAACAGGCAGACTGACTGAAATACACTGCTGAGGGGAGCAGCGGGTGAGACAGGAGAGGTCTGCTCCGCCATGTGGGCATCTCCACAGGGATTGAACTGGCATTGCAGAGGTTGTGGACAGCTTCACAGCACTGCGCTCAACTGCCTGCGGCTCCAGGGAGGCCCGCCTTTTATATCTCTTGTTGCCCAACTGCTCTGGCTAGACTTTCTAAATCTCTGTTGAGTAAAAGTAGCAAAAGCAGATAAACTTGCTTTGTTCCTGATCTTAGAGGAAAATTTTTCAGTCATTCACCATTGAATATGAAGTTTACTGTGGGTTTTCTTAATGGTTTTTATTACATTGAATTTTCTTCTGTTCCTAGTTTATTGAGTGTTTTTTGTTATAAAAAGGTGTTAAGTCAAATGCTTTCACATCATTTAAGATGATACTGTGATTTTCTTCCTCAAATATAGTCTGATATATTCCATTTACTAATTTTCATATGTTGAATAAGTCTTACATTATAAGAATAGATTCCTCTTGCTCATATTTCCTTAAATGTGCACCTGAATTTTGTTTGTTAGGTTTTGTTGAGGATTTTTGCATTGATATTCATAAAGGAATCGGCCTGTAGTTTTTTGTTTGTGTAGTGTCTTTGTCTAACTGTGATATCAGTGCAATATTGCCACGTACAATGAGTTAAGAAGTCTTCCCTCTGCTTCAACTCTGGAATATTTGATTCATGTTAAATCAGTTATTTCAATATTTGATAGTTTTTACCAGTGAAGGAATAAGTCTTAAGCTTCTATTTGTTTGGGGACATTTTGATGCTGATCAATCTCTTTACTAGTTATGTGTACATTTAAGAATTCTATTTCTTTGTGGTTCTTGGTAGTTTTTCTGTTT